AATATAAGGCACCTTTAATAACATCATAGTTAAAGTAAATGACAATGTGATCACTTTGCCCATCCCCACCTAAATATGCTTACATATATAAAACTATTTTTCTTCTTTTAATTTTTATTAAGTAACTAAAAAGCTTCAACTTATTTAAAATCTTGAAAGCTTGTACTTGATTAAAAATTGTTAAGTAGACTCAAAAATGTGAAAACGAGTAAAGAAAATTTGCCTAGTATAGTTTTGGGTTACTATGCCTGAGCTATCTATCACTGTTGCTGGTTCCAGCAGGACCAGTTCCTAGACAAAGAGTCACTACGGGCAGTGTTTTCAGTCTGGGGGCAGTGAATTCTTGCTTTACCTGCTCACTGCCATGGAGTTGAGGCCAACTCATAGCAACCCAATAGGACAAAGGAGAACGCCCCCTGCAGGCTTCTAAGACTGGAAATCTTTACAGGAATAGAAAACCTCATCTTTATCCCTCAAGTGACTTCTTACTGGGTAGTAAAATCAATGACTAGATCATAAGCTATATTGATTTTCTAATGTAAAACATCAAACAGAAGAGAAAATATTATCACATATCACACACAATTCAGGTGAGTAAAAGAGTCTCCCTGTGTGTGTATTAGAGAGAGAGAGAATGTGAGTTGTAAATAGGGTCGAGATAGTAAATGTGATGTACCTTAGAGAAACACTGTACAAAACATACATTCAGCTTACAGCTTTGGCATTTTTCATTCATAACATCTCTTCCGTACCCTGCCATAAACTGTTTTCTTGGTCTTACTGAAATCCAATTTTTACTTTGACCTCAAATTTTTTTTCCTTTGGTGGTTGTTACAATTCCAGGCTAAGTTGGTAGAATACACTATGCCTTAAATAATTTTTTTAATTTTAGAAATTTTAAGATAACCATGTGATATATTGTCCAATTTATAAGAATTTATAAAAATGACCGAGGAATTGTAATAGGCTCTGACAACAGGTCTATACCAGACAGTATGGTCAGTCTATTAATAATTTTATTATATAACTGCATTCTTAATATTACTGGTTTAAAATATTATAACTATTATTAAACATAAAAATTCAGTAGTTAAAATTAAAAATCCCTATTTTTAAAAAGAATTTTATAAGATCTCCCTGGCTTTTCATATAAATTACATAATGTTTTTACTAATTTGTTACGGAATCAACTAGGAAAAAATTTGGATTAGCAGGTAAAGCAATAAAAAAACGAAAGAGAACAAAACCCGTGAAAGACGTCTACCAATAATGTAGTCTACACTAATTAGAATATATTCTTAAATAAATCTATCTTGTACTTATGATACAGAGTACAAATCTTCCTTTAGACAAAGCTTCATTAAAAAAGAGAGAACAGCTTCATAATTTATCCCCAACTGAAGGCACATGAAAATCTTTAGAAAACATTCTAAACCTGCCCAATAGAAGATAAAAATGGATCAGCCCTGGAAAAAATTTTAATCTGTGAACTTTCTCTTTTTGACAACGTAACTGAGTCTAAAGTATGGTTGTTTCTTTGTTTACAATTCCACTGATTTCCTGCTTTCCCATCAGGGCCTTTTACTAAAATTGGGGAGGATGTCATATGAGTTAGTTTTGTTATTTAGCTGGTCTCATATTTTAAACGCCTTCAAACTCTTTTTAGAAAAAGGATTTATTAGAGTCCTAGTTTTGTTCCTTTGCAACTCACTTTTATTATGGTGTGCCTGTTTTTTCAATTTTCTGCCAGAGGAATTGCTCATGGATGGTAGGCTTTGGGGACTATGAAGAGCCTATGTAGGAAAAATTTTTATCTGTGTATGAGTTAAGTGCAGGTTTCTGGGCAAGATCCTACAGCTTTGAAGAAAATTCTCAGTGTCCCTGTGATCCCAAAAGATTAAGGACTAACATACTCATATTAGAAATATTTCAAAATATTTCAACAACAACAAAAAGGAAATCTTTCAGTTACAAGGAAATAGGCACATTTTTTAGTCTATTAATGGTAGCTGGAGAGCTATACATTTAAAAAAATATTTCTTCTAAAAAGGCTTACAGTTCTTACACAAGAGGCCAGGAGCTGGTGGCTCTTAAGAAGGCTTGGCAATTTATCTTATCCAAACAAGCCTTTCCTCCTTGTGTTGGTGTATCTAAGCTTTTTCTTCAAGAGCAGGGCACATAATGAAAAATCCATGAGATTGAAAACTGCATGAATTAGGAACACCAATATTAGACATCTTTATGGAGGTATAGTCATAACTATTTTCCCTTTATATTATTCTATTTTGTGATATGCTTAGATTAAAGAGTTACTAAAAGAAATGAACTTGCATTTTATTTATTAAAAAGCATCTGCACATATTTAAAAGTATAGATTGCTGCCCATATGAATCAATGAATTCCTTGTAATAATCCCTAGAATCCTCTGGGACCAATGGCTTTTTTAGCTAGAAAGGGATGCTGATAGAGGAGAAAAGAAAAGATAGTTTGTAAATACAGAAAAATCCATAAAAAAATGTCTTACTTGGCATGGGTAAACAACAAATACATTTCCTGAGTTTCAAAACCAGGAGAAAATATTCCAGAATATCCAAGAAAAGGGTGTATAAGATTTCAATCTATCAAACTCTACTCACTCTCACTGCCATTGAGGCAACGCTGACTCATTGGGACCTCTGTGAGGTTCTGAGACTGTTTACTGGAGTAGAGAACCCAGTCTCTCTCCCTGGGACCTGCTACTGGTTTCTAACTGTCCACCATGTGGATCACAGCTCAACACACCACCAGGTCTCCTTTTATTAATCAAAAGTGGGCATGAAATGTGGAAGTTGTCACCACAGACTTTCTTCAGCTTAATTCCCTTCTCTTTGCCCCGGGATCACCAAACATATACTTTATATTTCCTATCACTGCTGTTTTAATTAGTATTTAATACTATTTTAGAAATAATATTCCCCTTTTAACTGATGCTCCAGAATATATTCCATTCATTCTACAGTGCTTCTCTCTCAGGTAATGAAGTGCTTATTAGAATGTACCCTTAGGGTTATGAGGGCCGGGGGTGGGAAGGAGGGGGGAGGGGGCGGGAATAGAGGGGCTGATACCAAGGCTCAATAGAAAGTAAAAGTCTGGAAAAGAAGGCAACATATGTACAAATTTGCCTGATGCAAACAATGTATGGATTGTGACAAGAGTCGTAAGAGATAAAAATAATTTTTTTAAATAAAAAAGAATGTACCCTTGGCCAAAAAGGGGGTATTAACTGGGATTATTTATTATTAAGGAGCCCTGGTGGTTCTTTGGGTTGTGTGTTGTGCTACTAACTGTTAAGTTGTAGGTTCAAACATAAGCAAATTCATTGTTTTGAAGGATTGTTAACGAGGGAAGAGCATTTTTTCTTAAATGGACTAACAAAGTCTCATCTGGAGAGATTTGCCTCACCGAATAGTAGCATAATCCACTTGACTATTCATAAGGGAACTTTTTCTGAAGTCCTACAAAGATCCAAATCTATTCAGTCTTCACCAGAAAGCTCACCTCACTCAAGTTCATTGAATATGATAAGAACAAAATCTAGAGTGAGTGCCCTGATATAAATTACAACCTTGCTATTTATTAACTGTGTAAGTTTGGGGAAATTGTTTAAGTACTATAAGCACTAGTTTCCTATAAAATGGAGAGAACTGTAGTACTTTGGAGGCATATGGATGTTGTGAACATTAAAAGAAAAATTATGCATACAGATGCACAGCCTTGGTGTTCAATAAGCTGGTGAAGTGATTATGATAGCTATAATGATTTGCTGTTTCAACTGTCTCTGCTCTCTTGGCTCTAATGTCCATAACCACTTTGCAAGTCTGATGAATGTTAACAGTGATATAAAATTTATAACCTCACACTAGAAGAATTAATCCAATAAAATAAATTCACTCTACTCCTTCTACTTAATGTAAATTATACACCATCCAGTCCTCCTCGGTCATTTGGTACCAAGTCAGGGGAGAAAGCAAAGAAGCAGAAGAAAGAAACTAGTATGAACACAAGTGTTTCGTTGCTGGCAAGAACATACTGGATGAAAGTCATAAGACGACAAAAGGAAGAACAGAAGAGTTGGGAAGAAAGCAGAGGGAAGTGATCTGAACGAGTAAGAAATAAAAAAGACTAGGAGAGGAAAATCTTAGGTGAAAGGATTCATGCAGAACTATTTTTTAAAAGAGGGTATAGAATGTGAGAGAAATGAGACTGCTGAAAGCAGGAAAGCTTGAAAGGCTGTAACAAAAGAGCAAAGCCGTTTGCAGGGTCTAAGAAGCAGTATTACATGTAAGTAAGCTAATCAAATTTTCACAGACTAGCAGTATGATGAGGTATCTGCAAGGCTGGACTAACCAACCAAAAATAACACAGAAATGTGCATGCTAACACTTAGATGCATAGCTATGTTTATTAATCCTAAATATAGCTTAGGGGCATTAAAAGAAAATTTGATTTAGTTGTAAACATGAGCCATTATTAAGGCTTGCCCCTTCAAAGATGTCATCTACAGACTAAAGAAAACTCAGTTTACTTACTTAGTTTTCTAGTTAATTCTAAATATCTGAAATTTCACTACAATTTCCTTTCGTAATAATTTCCATGCTAGTACTACAATCTCCCCCAGCTGCCTACCCTCCAAAGAGTGGTAGGTGTCTTTCTGGAATCTACTAGCAAAAATAAACCTTTTTTATAAAAAAAGAATAATTTTTTAAAAGCAAGGGGAATAGTTCCACACCTCTACTGGGTTTTCTCCCCAATTCAAATCAATTCAATGAGAGCCAAATTTTAAAAAATTAGCTCACTTAAAATTATATTTAACAGTTTACAAGTTGCCGAAATTTAAAATATATCCAGACTCAACTCCTTACCAAAGAATGTTATAAATATCACCTGAATTAGGACCAGTCTGGTGAGGAAAAAAGTGTATTGCATCAGACAGACTTGCTGTGATATCTGTTCAAACATACCTGTAACAGTCAAAAGTCCAGCACTCTTCTTTCGTGCATAAGCGCGTAAGTGGTTGGATAGGCTAACAGCACTTGTAAACGTCGTATTGCAATGCACACATGTTCTAAGCTTCACAGGCATACCTATCATTCAAAAGAAAACTATAATCCAGTTCTACTTCAAAAAGTGAAATTTTCTTAGCTTAAAGCGTGTAGAAAAGTACAATAAAGATGTTTTTTTAAAAAAGTTCAGTGAATTAGCATAATGGAAAATAAAGAGGGGAAATAAGGTTCACTGCTAGTTTGTTGTTAGTATTTAGAGTCACCCATGCTCTCTGGAAAAGTGGACGAGGAGTGACTTGAACCTCTGAGTGGACCCCTCTGAATTTAATGCTATCATTTTCTTGCAGATTTCTGTATTGCGCAGATCATTCCCTAAACCTAAAATACAGTCCTGCCATTTGAATAGCACAGTTACAAAGTTACAGAGCTTACAACATTACCAATAAAAGAATGAAAAAGTCTAGTTGACAAAGTGGTAATTAAAGTGTTTTATCCACAAACCTGTAAAAGGCTCAATACTAAATGGAGGCTTTCTGATGAAGGCTGGGAGAAAAGGTGGTAAAACACACCACTGCACAGCTGTTAGACACAACATTTTATTCAGGGTATTTCATGTGCATTACCCTGAACGAGCAATCAATAATGGAAGTTAATGATTTGGAGTTTTTCTCCCCCTAAAAATCTTTGTACTATATAAATGATCAACAAGCTAACATCTTAATCATCACAGGAAAGAAAATATGTTGAAATAATAAGCAACTCCTAATTTCTCTGACAGCCCTCAATCCCCAACAATTTGAAGAAATGGGTTTCTTCAACATTATTTTGATAGCCACACCTGTCTTCCTTCTTTGAAGTCAACACAGCTGACACATTTTCCCTAGAGTTTGCCCTTCTGAAAAATACTAACAGCTACAGACACTGAAAAAGTCTCATCATATGTACGAAAGAACCTTATTATTAACCCAGAGAAGGTTATACGAGATAAATGACTTTCCAGATGACTTACAATACAAAGTACTCTGTGCTTAAACCAATATTGCCTTACAGATAGATGGGAAACCACAAAGTCTGCCCAAAGTAAACAAGCCAACATTACTTTTATTTATTACTCACCCAATGCCAATTACCTTAAACACATTTAACTGAAGGTTCTAATCAGTAGACCATCTCAGTTAATAGTCACAATTTTAACCTCCCCAAAACAACTAAAAGACAACATAAACTAGACTTTGCAATACAAAATGAAATTTGACTACTTGATCTGCCACATCATATGCCAACACAACGTACTCCTTAGAAACGCCAAAACTATTGGTTTTACGAGCACGAAGCCAAGTCCTACATCCTGTTCCATGAGAACTCTAGTGCACGTGCTAAACCCCCAGATATTACATTTTAGACTCACAACGGTTCTCCAGAACCAAACTGTCCCGAAATACAATGAGGAATTGAACAGAGACGCTTCTTTGGGTTAATTACAACAGACAGCAATCCATTCAACTGAAAAAATCTGTTTTGTTTTACCTCCGCATGAACAAAACCAGTAGTTAAATCTTGAGGACATTGTCGTTTTGGAGAACTGGCAAACATATGACAGTAGTTTGCATTTTCAGTGATGCTATACTTTTGAACAAAGTCCACTTCCCATCCAGAGAACCACCATCCCCAGTGAGCTTATTTCCTTCTTAGAGATGTTTTCGTTTTTGTTCTCACCTTATCACCTGACCAAGAATTGAGGTACACAGAACTCAGTGCTGAACATCAACTGAGTTATAGAAATGACAAGATAACAATCAATTTTGTGCTCTGTAAAAAAAAAAAGCAGCTTAAAGGAAAAAATTCTGAGAAACAATATTTTCTACAAATTTTCCATTACAGTAACACATAATTAAACTGTAATTCATAGACTAAAATAGTCACAAATGTCCTCTTACCTGAGTGCATAGTTAAGTCCATTTTTTGTGGCTGATACATCAATGGACTATCTTCACTTAACGGAAGTACACATTTCTGAACAAATCTCTTTCTTGCAGTTTGATTATGGATCTTTTGAGGAGAGAAAGTAGAATTTCTTTCCTCTCCCATCCTTTTATTTTTAAGCAGTTCTATCAGTGTAAGAGACTTTTTCCCACTAGACAGTTCTGGTTTTGTTTCATCACATTCATTTAAGAAACTCAGTCCATCTTCCTCTGATGCAGACACTGATACAGCTTCAGTCTTTAGGCCATTATGGTATGCTTCAAGAGGTATAACATTTTGGGATAAAAAGTCATCGCTGGATGCAAATTTCTGAGCAACAAATGGTCTGGGAATAATACGACGACTGTTCAATGCTTTTAAGATTTTTTCATATTTTTCTTCATTTTGCATCATCTCATTCAGAACACAGATTGGAGACTTGTGAGCATCCCATTTGGTCTTTCCCAGTCTTTTCAGGTGACCTCTAACATGATTTGATAAACCAATTTTGGTATCAAACCAACCACCACAGAGTTGACAAGTGTGTTCAGAAGTGGATTCAGACTTTTCTATAGCTTAAAAAAAAAAAAAAAGTTTAAGGGTAAGAACAGAACTTTTGATAAATTCACCACCCTAAAACCAATGAACTCTGAAATATGATGTGATTGTGATAAACAACAAGAATGAAACAAAATCTTAACAACCTGATTTTGAACCCAGCCATACTAGCCCAAATTATCCACGAGCACTTACCTTTTCTAACTCGTTTAACAGGTGTCCCTGTGCCAGTCCTTTTGAAATGCTGCATTTTGTCACTTGTAGCTATTTGTTCTGGTGATACAACATGACGGGCTTCATAGCTTAATCCTGCTCTGTGAAGATGTCCCCGAACATGATTTGACAACCCAACACCTGTTTCAAAGGTTGCTGGGCAATAAGGGCAAGATTTCTTCTCAAGAGACAAATCAGACCAATGGAAAACAGAGCCATGCTTTGACAGTGAAGTTTCTGCATTTTCTAAATGCTGAGGATCGTGTATCTCATGCAAAAAGTTATTAGCTCCTGTATCTTCATAATACTCAAAGTAAAAACCATCATTTTGATCATAATTAAGGGTCGTGCTTTCTTCAGGTTCTTGACTTTCTACTTTGCTTTTAAATAGAGGGAATAAGTCTACATGTTCTTGATTAATATCATTATAGGTTTCTTCTTCTATTGTCTGCGTAGTGTAGTCACCTAGTTCAACATTATCCCATGAACTTTCATCTTCTGTTTCATAGCTATCTTTCTTTTCAGCAGAGTTAAGCTTTTGCAAAACAACAACTGTCATTTTATGCAAAAAATCAGGATAGCTATCCAAGTCTTCTCCTTCAACAGAACTTTCCTTCTTAGATTCCCTAACTACTCTCTTCACAGCTACACGCCTATGTTCTTTGAAGCTTTCTGGCCTTTTGGTGTCAGAGTTATTAGAATCTGAAATAAAACTATCACTGTGAGAATTACTTGATGATGAAAATAAATGTAAAGAATTTAATGAACTAGTTTCTTGTTTTAAATGCAGAGGATATGATTCACCTGATTTTTTAATCATCCTGTAGTTTTCATATTTGTGTCTATATAAATAGTTGCTATTTGTCTTGGCATTCGATTTTTCCTTTGCTGCTTGATGGAAATACTTAGTTTTTTGGTCAATGCTGTTTTGATTCATAACAGTCTTAGGAGAATTATCTTGATTGCACACATTTACACCTGACTGGACGATGCTTTTCCGAGCTTTTTGTATTCTGTGTGGCCGCTTATGGAATTTTGAAAAATTACTTGATTGTGAGGCTGATCCAAATGCTCGCTTTACATCTTGTTTTAGAGCAGAATTCTTTGGAAATGTGGTTGACTGTTGTTTAATTAATGGTTTAGTGCTAATATCTATAGGTTCTTCAAAGATATCATTTTTTCTTTTGTCAAGCCCAAGGGGGTTGCTAAATGAATCAATGCATGATGATGAATGTAGGTATTCCATGTGTTTTTTTAAAAGACTTCTGGCTGAAGTGGTAAAAGGGCACATCTTACATATATAGGTAGCCGATTTTTTAGATGACCCTGTGGCAGAGACTTTCATGAAAGTCTTTTTTTGCGTTTTTCTCTGGGCTATATCAGAACTGGCAATGGGGCATTTTACCACTGCTCCATGGGCAATTCCTCGGTGGCATTCCAACTCATTTTCTGTCACTGCCATGAAGTTACATTCTTCACAGCAGTAGTACCTCTTATCTTTTTCATGGGTTTTAGCATGTTGTACAAATGTTTTAGGGCAATTGGTTCCAAACACACATTGAGGGCATTGTAATCGTGCACTTCTTCCTTCATCCTGAAGTTCTTTCAATTCACGGATTTCCTCCATCAACTTCTGTCTTCTTTCTTGGTGAATAATCATATGCTTTAAAAGTGAGTTGCGATCTCGAAATGTCCGTCCACATTCTCTACAAGCATATGGCCTTGGGACATTAAGATGGCGAAAGTGACTGTTTCCATCTAAATGATACATCATATGCCTGTGGAGGTGCTTCTTCTCCCTAAAATTCACATTGCACTTTGTACAGGGGTAGAATGATGGCTCTTCGTTGCTGAAAGTAGCAGGGGACTCGGAATCACTCTCTTCACATTTCTTTTTTAAGGAATTTGTTAGAAAAGTGCTCGTATGAACAGGTGAACTATCTTCTCCACACTTATCTGGATTATATATTAGATGTTGAAAAGCATCCACAGATTCCAAGTCTTCATCAGTTGATTCAGGCTTCACTTTTGATAATGCATATTTCTGTGAGTCTATTGCTTGTATTTCTTCATTTTGTTCTAGAAAGTCTACTTCTAGTATTTTTGATTTATTGGGTACAGAATTAGAATCACTGAAGCAATCTTCAGTATAACGAGTTATCTTGCTTACATCCATTTTCCGCTTTCTCTTCTTTTCTACACCTACTTTAGAGGGTACTGGAGCTTTATCTACTGTATCTTCATTTGTCATAAGAAACTGAATGAACTCTTTTTGGGGGTCCCAGTTTGTGTCATTTTCTGACCTAAATTCATCTGTACCTGAGGAAATTCCTGTTACTGGATTGACACTATCATCTTTTACCAATAAATCTTCACTATCTTCACCCACCTCTACTTGATTTATTAAAGTGCTATCTGACTTTATACTACTCCCTACTGAATTCTGAATGTCACACCCAACTGAGGCAGAGGTAGGTAGTTTTTTAATGGAATGAGTTGGATTCTTAGCATGTGCTACATCAGGTAACAAAAATAAAACTTGGTGTTGACTTGCATTCTGTGGCGTAGACAGCTGGAGATCAGCTGCCACCTTCAAAGTTGAACAAGATTCTATTGTTGGCTGATCCACAGGCTGTCCAGTGGTTAATGAAACACTGCCTTTATTCATATTGGAAGTCTTGGTTAAAGAGGAGTGTGAAACTGGTCCATTAACAGCAGCTCCTTTAGGCAAGATAAAGTTTTCACTAGAAACAGTAGGAGCACCAGCATGTATAAACAGAGCAGACTGGCCCCCGCTTAAGGCTTTTTCAGATTTGTCCTTTGTCAGTTCTTCAGGCAGAATCAATGCACTGTTTTTCTGAAATGATGTTTGACAATCTTTTGGTTTTTGAACTCCACTCTCTTCCTCTGAGATAAAATCATTGCCATCTAGGAGTTCTTCTTTAGCACCAGAAGTATCTGTGTTTATCTTCTTCATATCATCCATTTTGTTGGCAAGCCCATTTAACACATTTAGTCTAGAAAATGGAAAAAATAGTTTTAGATTTGCAAGAAAGGAAAAAAATACTACTAGATTACACATGCAGAGCTGAAAGTATACTTTTTGATTACTCGAGTTTTCCATTTTTCATATTGAGACTTAATGTTTTTCTTAAGAGTGAAGAAACCTTTAAAAATTGAAATACGGCCTTGAAGGATAATTTTTTCTTTGTGCTAGGAAACAACTCAAAATTGTAAATGTATGAAATACGGAAAATAAAGGTATACACATGTAATACAAAGGAATATAGTAGAGAATAAAACTTTTAAGCCTAGTGTCAGTATATATTGAAAATAAAAATGATTTAACTTAAGCAATTTTAATTTATTATAAATCTGAATTACACCCATTGCAAAAAAGTAAGAGCTTTTCTACTTGAAAGTTCCTCCCTGTAAGAAGGTAACAAAACATCTCTCAGTAAAAGATCTTATCTAAATATTTTAGCTATCACCATTAATAGCTTATGATGTAATAATGATTTTATTTTTAAATTTAAGAATATTTTGCTTTCAAGATACTTTAATATTCTCCTAAAACCCAATCAATTAAACACAAAAACCTTCTATTCACAGGGGTTCACTGAGCCCTTATTCAAGATTATTCTCAATTAGTAAACTTGAAACTAGTGAAATTTCCTGTTACTTTAAATTCTCATACTTAGGATCCCCCAGATTTTCGGCATTCACTAGACTAGTTCTTCCATTTCTGATTTGACAGTTTCATAAACTTAAAATATTTTATGATGAAACATAATAAATATGTTGAGATTTTAGCTTAATTCAGAGAAAATATAGGCAATACATTCAAATGCATATTTAATTATGATAACACAGAATATTTTAAAAGGAAAATAATTTTTTGAAAATTTTGGAATGTAATTCCCAAATTTCCACTGCTATGAAGAAACCCTTTGAACCCTTTGAAATGGTTGCATAGCAACCATCCTTAAAACAATGTAAGCTCTTTGAGGGCATGAAATATGATTGAACTACTTTCCCATCTCTAGAACTGAGTACAGTGATTTGCACAGGTGTTGAATAATGGACTCAATGAATTTTGAATAAAAGCACAATCACAATATCAAAAGTTCATGAAATATAAAAAGGAAAAAGGTTTTTTCAATGAATTTTCATTAACCCCAGTCAAATAGCATCATTTCTATCATGGCTTTCATTCTTGACTCAACAACTATAGCAATCCTCATGAACAACTTAAAGAGTTTTCCAGTAATATTATTTGAAGTATTCCCATACATAAAGTTCCACGTTTGATTTTGTATTAGTTGGTGGGAGCTTCAAAAGGTCATAAAAAATTGAGTTAAAAGATAATGGGATTTTCCCATGAACTTTTAAAGTCCTTTGTACTTACAGTTTATTCATTCTTCAATTTATCAAGGTCCTTACTATGTCAAGCAATGCTCTAGGTATCAAAGATATGATAGTAGAGAACACAAACTAGGAACCTATTCTCAAATAAAGAATAAAACCTTCCCTCTGCCACTGAGACCCCCTCCCCCACAAAGGAGGGAGGATGAAAGGGAGATGATTGTCAAGGGGTACATGTGGAAATGTTTGGAAACTGATTATGGTGGCAGTTATACAAATATGCTTGACATGACTGATGTATGGAATGACATAATTTTTAAAACCTTTCTCATTTTAAAGGTTTAAAATTTTTGTAATTGTTTTAGGATAGCAGAATGCACACTTCAGTATTTTAAAATGAAAATATTTTCAATAGAGACTGGTGGAACCTCTGAGACTATGAACTCACCACTCACCCCGTGGCTCCATTTTTAATTAAACAAGACAGGTCCAAAGGGAACGATAACATTAGGGAAGTGTGGACACTTTACAGCAGTGGTTCTTAACTTTCCTCATGCCGCAACCCTTTAATACAGTTCCTCATGTTGTGGTGACCCCAACCATGAAATTATTTTCGTTGCTACTTCATAACTGTAATCTTGCTAGTTATGAATCATAATGTAAATATCTGATGTGCAGAATGTATTAGACAACCCCTGTGAAAGGGTCATTCGACCCCCCAAAGGGGTCCGGACCCACAGGTTGAGAACCACAGCTTTATAGTAATTAACCGTTTGAGATTAAAAGGACATTTACCCAAGGACAAAGTCCAGAAGGGTTAGGAAAGGATAAATGGAAACAGGAAACAGAGAGGAAATGGGCTAAGTGCTAATACATTGTGAGGATTACAATCAATGATATGAAAACAAAATGTGTATGGATTGTTGAATGAAAACTGATTTGATTTGCAAACATTCACTTAATTTACAATAAGTTACCTGCCCCCCAAAACACCTGCCTTGCTTTCTATCTTTCTATAAGTTGATAATATCTAGTATCTAAATAATTTATCATAAATGTATTCGCCTAAAAATTAAAACATTACTCACACTAAATAAAGTTCATTAATTCTATTATGTTTGATAGGGTCAATTTCATACTTTTAAGAAAAATAAAATCTTGGTTAAAAAAATTGTTCTCATTACTATTTTCTTATTTCATAAAGCAGGCCAGCACTTATAAAACAAGATCTTATCATTCTTATATGATATTTTTATATAATAAACGCCACAAAAAAGTATTATAAATATTCTTCTTTAGCATTATCATTTATACCACCAATCATTTTCCTGTCTTAGGATGGTTTTGATATTGGCAAGTTTCCACAGTAATAAAAATAGACTTCCAATAAGATCATATTCAATGATATCACCCCAAAATGGTGCTAATGCAGCACCCAGCAGGAGTCTCAACATCACATACACAGAAGTTAAAAACGGGCAGCACAAGCATGTGTTAGGAAGGAGTGTGCAAATGTCAATGAAAGGAAAAGCAAAACTTGATGCTATACTATTACCCATTCCAGCATTTCTCATTAAATTAGGTAGAAAAGCAATATGTCTTAGTAGCAACAAGCTCATAAATCTGAAAGACAAGAATTTTGGTAAGCAATTTATGTCTGAAAGACACTAACTTTCTATTCCTGCTTATTATAATCACGGAGGTAGACAAATATATGCTCAGTCAATTTGAAAGCCTTTATTAGTTTTTCTCAACAGGAAGCAACGTTGCTAACGAAGTGGTAAATTCAGTGTTAATGAGTGGCTTCACTGTTACCACCTCAGAGGTAAAACCTTCCATGTTCCATGTTCCACCCATCTGTTCTGGTGTTAGAGGTTCAGAGATGGAACAGACGCTTCCCATTTAAAGCAACTTCATTGATACCCCCTGAACAGCAGGGTGACAAACTATGAGAATATCATGTCGGTTTAAAGACTGCACCCTCATTATCAGAATGGCTTTATAAGAGTCTGCCATGATTTCACATTCTGAAAATTCCAAACTCTTTGGTTCAAATATATCAAAGGGATATATATATATAACAGATTTCCAATCTATGGAATGCAGTTAGGAAAAACAAAAGAATCAGATCAAATTAAATATTAAAATATAAAATGAGATATTGAATGAGCAAAGTTTTCTTTTGCACCTACATAATGAAATATGGCTCATTTGCCTCAGTAATTACCTCTCCACAATTCTTTTTCAAGTTCAGTTGGGAAGATATTCTTAGCACATTAATATTTAAAACATGGTATCAGAAATTGGTTCAGTAAGCTAATATAGCAGTAATTAAAATTTTCCTCACTTAATTTTCAAAACATAGTTTAACTATCAAACATTCAAACTACAGTTCTTTACTTAATAGCCGTATTCAAGACTTGTAGCTGTTGCCCTGAAATACAATATAGGACAAAAGACTATCAAAATCTGTTGCAATAAATAATGGATTTAGAATTCTAACATCAAAAACTGTATCACTACATTCATGTGGATACTTATGTGATTTTCATAAATCATTGGATCTGTAAGCTATTTTTACATTGTATTAAGTAGTAGTTCGCAACTACCTTTAATCATATAATTAGATAATAGAGCCATCAATACTTTAAAAAATCAATACTAGCTACTACTAAGTACAGAACCTATTAGAAATAGGTATTATTCATTATTTAAACTTAAAAGAGTCAAGTTTATAAATTATAATACACAAATTAGTGTTATATTATTTGAATCTCCTAAATCTAAATGCTTTTTCTATATTAATAGGATTACTTTTAGCAAATATTTCAGCGCCATTACTATGTGTTCTCCCATGAAATCATATCATTTGCTTTGAACTGATTTAAAAACATACTTTAAAAATTCACACACGTTATAAAAAGCTGTAAATGGAATTTTACATCTACATAAAACATATTTCAGTTTCTAGAAAATCATAATGAGTTCTACAGCTATAACTGCCTGTAGTTATATGCTGTGAACATTAAAAAAAGTACAAAGGTCAGATCTGTCTTCAGGATGACAGATCATCACTTACATGCCTCAAGCTAGACTTATTGTCTCAGAAATCTCAAACATCAGTATTTTTGCAAACTATCAGCACTTGCTATAACACCCTCACTACACTACATCTTGAGGTTACTACAGAAGAAATGAGGTGATAATTGCATATTAACATAATTATTCTGTAATCCCTCTGAGCAAGCTTCCTAGGTCACTCAGTAATTCAGATTAGCTACAACCTTCCTGTCATCAAATCTATGCTGTCCACTTTCTGTTCATGAATAATTCTTTTTTTTAAACGAAATTAGCTTAATTTCATTCTTTTATGTACATTATTAATTGTATTTATTGCAAGTAGGTTAACATTTTTGAGTACTTATTACAGAATTCCAACCTTTGTCATGTCTTATAATTTCACACAAAAATAAAAGTATGATCTGCCCTTATTCCACATTAGTTCATTAATAACTGTATTACACAATTCTAAATAAATTATAATGCTGGCTACAAGCTGAGTTATAGTTAGGATCTGTCAGATTTTCACAAACCTCATGTTCCTCATCTTTGAGAACATGTGACAAGCTCAGTTGGTGTATGAGTGGGTCAAGAAGAGCAAACTATTCACAACTATCACCCTAAATGCAAAACAAGTCTTAATTAACTGAACTCTTACCACATTTAAAATTACTACAGCATTTAAGTCTATGTGCACACTATACACAATGTACACACATAAATATCTATATTTTATACAGTCACAAGGAAGGTAAACATGATATGTTCCAATCATCCTAGGAATAAAGTACCTGTTTTAGATGCCACATTGAGAAGAAAAACTGACAC